TTGAGACCCATGCCAAGCTCCATTCCTGTATCTCATATTCTCTTTTGCTTGGTTCTCTACCTTTCATTTTGTCTTTCTGTGCAGGATACCTTCAGAAAAGTTCAGGCCAGGCTATCTTTTGAATACACACACATCCCTACACACACAGCCCACAGGAAGCGCATTTCTGCTTTTCCAGACAGTGGGAGTACAAGTCGCTCCACTTCTACGATGTGTCTCATGGGCTTTCACAATTCCCCAGGGAGAATCATTTTACCGTGGGGCAAAGGAGAAGAAAATAAAGCGTTCTGCCCTGAACCTATGATTCATAATGTCAGTGACTTCTTTCTGAGTATATGTTAGACAGAGGCAGGTGAGCAGACGATCCTAGGACCATGTTGGCCACTTTTTGGTAAACCCTGAAAGAGGAAGCTGTAGATCCTTGGCATTGTAGCATCTACTTGGGACTTGAGGGATACTGTAAGACTACCAAAAAAAAAAAAAATATATTATTCAGCATTTTGCTTATAAGTGTAGAGAACCCAGTTAAACTTACTACTAACCACAGAATTGTGACTATATTATTCATATAAAATTCACCTACTTTTTTCCCTACTTAACACACTTCTTTCTTTTCTTCAAACTCCTTACTTAAACTTATCATTCACAACTTTTTGTTCTTGTTGATCCCTTAGCGTGGAACACTGCCTCCCAGATCTTCAAATGCTTGAATTTTAGTTTTTATTCAGATCTCACCTTCTCAGAGGCCTTTACTGACCATGCAATCTAAAATAGCCTCCCCAGTACTTAGTGGTTGTGTTTTACACTTAAATTGTCATTTGACTGCTCACTGTCTCCACATTCAAGAATATGTCCCCCCATGAGAACAGAGAGCTGCTCTGTCTTTTGTACTGCTGTAGACCCTAGAATAGGATCTAGCACATAGTATACACCCAACAAATATTTGATGAATGAAATTATATCATGAGCTTTTCCCCACAAGTCATTATATGTATGTATTATGTATGTATGTGTGTATATATATACACATATATATGTATATATATATATAAATATATATATGTGTATATATATATAGTAAATATTAATCCTACAACAACAACAAAATAAACCAGTTCAGAAATGGGCAAAGAATCCGAATAGAAATGTCTCCAAAGAAGATACACAAATGGCCAGTAAACACAGGAAAAAGATGCTGAACATCACTAATTATTAGGGAAATGCAAATCAAAACCCCAATGATATACCACTTTATACTCATTAGGGGATGGAATTATGTATTTTTAAAAAACAGATAATAATAAGTACTGGCAAAGATGTAGAGATATGAGAACGTGTGTTTATTACTGAGGAGACTGTAAAATGGTGTTATCTGCTGTGGAAAACAGTATAGCAGTTCCTCAGAAAAATAAACATAGAATTACCGTATGATCTAGCAATTCAGCTTGTGGGAATATACCCAAAGGAATTGAAAGCAGGGAGTAAGATATTTGTACATGAGTGTTCATAGCATTATTTACAATAACCAAAAGATAGCAATAATGTAGGTGTCCATCAGTGCATGAATGAGTAAACTAAGTGGTATATACGGACAGTAGAATATTATTCAGCCTTAAAAAAGAATGAAATTCTGATCCATGCTATCATATGGGTGAACCTTGAAAACATTATGCTGAAATAAGCCAGACACAAAAGGACAGATATTGTACAGTTCCATTTGAATGAGATACCTAGAATAATCAAATTCATAGAGACAGAAAGTGGAGTAGTAATTACCAGAGCCTAGGGGAGAGCATAATGGGAAGTCAGCGTTTAATGGACACAGAATTTCAGTTTGAGATGATGAAGATGTTCTGGAAATGGGTAGTGGTGATGATGGTTGTACAATAATGTGAATATAATTAATGCCACTAAATTGCACACTTAAAAATGGTTAAAATGATCAATTTTATGTTATATCTACTTTACCTTGGTAAACCTAAAAGAAATCTTAATAGCTTCTTAATATTCCAGCAAAGAAGTATACTGTTATTGCCCATTTATATAGTTTGAGTAGTTATTTTTGTTACAAGAGATGATAAAATGTGTATACATAAATCTAAAATTTAAAGTTATTAGATAGATGGATAATTTTAATTTCTTGATTTCTTAGTGCCAAATTAATTTCCAGAAAGATGTACTTATTTTACCTTTCTTCAGACTGTTACTTTAGTAAAGTTTCAAATCTGAATTTTTATATAGAAAGATTTAAATATATCCATACATTAAGTTAACTCTCACTTCTTCATATAATGTAGGTGTGTTTTCTCTTAAACGTTTATATAGCATCTAGCTTAGTTTTGTTTTTTTGTTTTGTTTTTTGTTTTTCTTTTTACATCTCACAATCCACACAAAAAAGAAACACCAAAAAATTATGACAAGTTTGCCTAATTCCTGGTATATAGTATTGTGCTGCATATTGTCATGTGGTATGGACGAGAAAGTCTCATAGGGAAGGAGGTAAACGCTGGCATTATATTAAGTTGATTTTTCTTTATATATTAAATGATCCTAAAATAAAATAGAAAAAATTATTAATCCAGGGGGATGGGCTACCTTCTGAATCAAGTTTGCTCTTTAACATTGACATCTTGAGTTTAACAACACCAAAAATGTTACTTTGTTGATTGTTCTCTCATTTGAAGAGCTGTAAAAATTTAGAATTTTGCCATACAATTAAATTCTAAGAAATCACATTACTTGTTTGCTTAGTATATAAGCCTAAGGAATCATTTGTAGTAAAGTCACCCCATTCTAATTTCTCTGTCCTGGGAATGGAAAGGGACTTAAATATGTGGCAGTATTGTTGCTGGGTTTTGTTAGATTTTTGTTTCTAGTTTTCACTAGAGAATGGGATTATAGTTAATATTTGCTTGTAAACTAAAAACATTTTGCCAAGAATTAAGATTCCCTCAACACATTGGAGGTGGCAATGGGGGCAATATATGCACCTATACATATTTATTTCAAGTAGTACATTCCTATATACGGTTTCACTGTAGAGCTTCACCCAAAAATAGTACTCTTCTGAAATTACCTTCACAAATACTGAGCTAAGTCCTAGTATGTATGTATTTGGGGAGTTTAAAATTGCTTTAGAAGTTTTTTCATACTACCTTTGGTGAATAATTTCAGAAACCTTAGGCGTCACATATTTTTTAATATGAAATGCCATCATAGCATCTTGAAGATCTTTAAGTTACTTTATAAATGCTCTCCACAGTTGTCTGGGATCATCACCTTCAAGGCTGAGCCAGAAAACAACGGGAGAAGAAAGGGAGTCCTGTTGTACTTAATGACTTCATTTATGAATTAGACCCTTATTATTGAGCTTGTATTTGAAGTTCATTCTGTTCTTATCAAAGTTTTCTTGATGTGCTTATGGGTATTATAAGTAGTCAAAGTACTGTCAACTTTTAATCTGGATTACTTTTTAATTACATGTGCTTGATGATCTCATCAGATAATCTACGTGTAAGTACTTGATTAGTAAAAGAATACTTTTTATATATAATCTAGCCAAAACTAGGTGAAGGCTAAACTGGAAAAATCACATACACACACTAACTCTGCATCTTTGCAATAGTTTTAAAGAGAATATCTTTGGGGCGCCTGGGTGGCGCAGTCGGTTAAGCGTCCGACTTCAGCCAGGTCACGATCTCGCACTCCGTGAGTTCGAGCCCCGCGTCGGGCTCTGGGCTGATGGCTCAGAGCCTGGAGCCTGTTTCAGATTCTGTGTCTCCCTCTCTCTCTGCCCCTCCCCCGTTCATGCTCTGTCTCTCTCTGTCCCAAAAATAAATAAATGTTGAAAAAAAAAAAAATATCTTTTCCTAGGCTAGCCCAAGTTGCAAAGGAGTTTATATCCCTGGAAGTATTCAGAACTCTAAAATATCAAGCAAAAGCATCCTATAAATTTTGACTTGGTCTATCCACTGTTATTCTCTCAGAAGAAAACACTTTAGGTTAAAGTAGAGTAAGTTAATAGAACATAATAATATCAAGTGTTGGCTAGATCCACCACCGAGGTACAAAACAAACAATTAACATTTCAGATTATCAGTAAGCAGGAAGCCCAAAGAAAGGTTTGGTATTAGGGTGAGAAAGAGGATAGATAATTTGTGGGTAAAACTGCATTTCAGAAGATTGATAATACGAACTAAAAATAGAATTTTGCTCACTTGTTGGGCACTCAATTAGGAAATGTTCAAGCGTAAAGAAAGAATATAATTGATATTCCTTAAGAAGGGGAGTGCTGGTGGCAGCTGGAAAAGATATTTGCCTACAATATACCTCATAGTTAGTAGGATTCATTATAATTAAGAATTTAAATTTAGGGCTCTGCTTCTAGGAAATAATTTTGAGTTTCAAGCTGACTTTATAAAGCACATTTTTTTGAATATAAATTGTATATGGGGGACTACCTCTTTAAACAGTCTTGTAGGTCAAGGGGCAGCAAACTTTTTTTTTTTTTTTTTTTACATTTATTTATTTTGAGAGAGAGTGAGAGCAGGGGAGGGGCAGAGCGAGAGGGAGAGACAGAGAATCCCAAGCAGACTCCACATTGTCAGTGCAGAGCCTGCTGCGGGGCTTGAACCCATTAACCACAAGATCATGACCTGAGCAGAAGTTGGACACTTAACCGACTGAGCCACCCAGGTACCCCATGGGTCAGCAAACTTTTTAATTCAAGGCCACATAGTAAATATTTTAGGCCTGGCAGGCCGTCTATTCTCTGTCACAAACTGCTACACAATTGTGAAATGAATGAAACCCTAGGTAATAAATGAACCATAGCTGTGGTCTAATCAAATTTTATTCACAAAAATAAGAAGCAGAACAGATTTGGCCGTAGGCCATAATTTGCCAAACCCTGCACTAAATGTAAAAATCCTAAGCTACCTGTGCATTTTAGTCTCAATTTTAATGCTTTGCATCTTTATAAATTCTCAACATTATTTTAGTTACTTCACGGAAACCAAGGGAAGATGAAAAAGATGGTCAGGCATATAAATTTGTGTCACGTTCTGAGATGGAAGCAGATATTAAAGCTGGAAAATATTTGGAACATGGGGAATATGAAGGAAATCTCTATGGAACCAAAATTGATTCTATTCTTGAAGTTGTCCAAACTGGACGAACTTGCATCTTGGATGTCAACCCACAAGTAAGCTGCATGGATTCCAAAACTGTTTTTAAAATTTTGATTTCTGTGGATTTTTTTGTTTTTTGGGTTTTTTTGTTTTGTTTTGTTTTCAAATTGTGAGGGTGGTGATAGAGAACTTTATCATGCATCCACATGATAATTTCTGATCAATTCGCCAATAGAGGCTTGGATAGCAATAGAACTTGATAGTTTAGTATTTACTTACTTGTTCAAGTAATATATAAATGCATGTGTTAGGAAATGTTAATTTTAAATTTTCAACAAAGCTGCAACACAAAGAATAAAAGATTAAAGTCACACCCCTTCCCACCCAACACACATATTCACACACAACAATCTCTTCATTCTCATTCCCTGTCTTTCTCACCGACCCCTTCCCACCCCTCCACATTCAACTCCACCTAACTCCCTACTCAGAGATAATTATTTAGTTCAGTGTATATCTTTGTCATTTTATATACCTTAAATACAGATATATCTATAATTTTAATGGGCTATTTTTTTATATAAATAGGAAATTCTATACAGATTCTTTAGTTTTTTTCATTAAACAGTATCTCTTGAAAATGTTTTCATATGAGTTACTGTAGAGCTTTTGTTTTTAGTTGTTTGTAATTGCTGCATAGTACAAATGTATATTAATTTATATACCACTCTCAATAGACACTGAGATTATTTCTGCTTTTTCAATATTAACAGAATTCTACAAATAACATATAAAGCATTTACATCATTCTTGATGATTTTTTAATTACTTTGTTCAAAAGGATTAAAGAGTAATGTGACTGAGGTCAGAGCATAGTTACTGGATCACTGAGAAAGTACTGTATGGAATCAAAAAGATAGAAGGGAGCAAGTATTAATTTACAGCCTTAATCCTTAGTGAGAGGGCAGATAGACTGATTATTTAGCATTTAGTATAAATTAAAGGATAACATAAATTCTAATCCCATCTAAGTTGGTTTGTAATTGTTCTTCTACACAGGCCTTGAAAGTGCTGAGGACATCCGAGTTCATGCCCTATGTTGTATTTATTGCTGCTCCAGAACTAGAGACGTTACGTGCCATGCACAAGGCAGTGGTGGATGCTGGCATCACTACTAAGCTTTTGACGGTGAGCAGTTCTTTTCAGGCTAACAATATTATTTTCTTCCTAAGATTTTTTCTGTTTTATTTTGGACACCTTTTATTCCAATCATATTCACGAAATAAATATATGATATATTACAGAATAAAAATTCATTCATGAGATGTCACTAGGATCTGGGACAGTGTGGCTTTAGGGGCTCCTGGGTGGTTCAGTCGGTTAAGCATCTGACTTCAGCTCAAGTCATGATCTCATGGTTTGTGTGTTCGAGCCCCCCATCAGGCTCTTTGCTGATGGCACAGAACCTGCTTTGGATCCTCTGTCTCCGCCCTCACACACACCCCGTGCCCCTCATGCCCCTCCCCCACTGGTTCTTTCTAAATAAATAAATAAGCTTTACATACATACATACATACATACATAAAACACAAGTTTGTTTCCTCTATGTAAGTGAAAGGGAACAGTACTAAAATATGCATATTAATCCGTCTCTCATTTTACCAATGAGGAAAAGGCTCCAAGACCATTAACAAGCATATTCATCATAAGGTTTACTACTGGTAGTAGGTTCTGACTTTTAGTTTTTGTTGCATGTTTTCTTTTGTTTTCCTTCTCTCTCTCTTCATATTATAGGAAACTTAAAATATATACAGAAGAGGAAAAAAAATGAACTCCCATATGCCCATCACCTAGCTTCAATAATACATGCCATTTGTGTTTTAATTAGACCTCTCTTCATTTCCTCCCTTACTTGGATTATTTTAAAGCAAATCTTTGATATGTCAGCAGTAAATATTTCAGTATCTATCTCTAAAACATAAAGGTTTTTTTAAACATAACCGTAACACCATTAACACAAAAAAATTAATAAGAGCAACTTCTTTTTTTTTAATGGTTATTTGTTTTTGAGAGAGAGTGCGAGTGGGAGAGGGACAGAGAGAGAGAGAGGGAGACCAAGAATCCGAAGCAGGGTCCATACTGTCAGTGCAAAGCCTGATGTGGGGCTTGAACCCTCAAACCATGAGATCATGACCTGAGCTGAAGTTGGATGCTCAACCGACTGAGCCACCCAGGAGCCCTGAGAGCAACTTTTAATATCATCAAATATACCATCCATATTTGAATTTCTCCAGGAGTTAGAATTTTTTTACAGTTGATTTATTCAAATCAGATCCAAACAAGATCAACACATTTCATTTACTTGATGTCTTCTAAACTTCTTCCCCCCACCCACCCCTGCGGTTTAATCAAAAGATAACTGACTTACAATAAACTTTACGTACTAAAAGTGTACCACTTGGTAAGTCTGGGCATATGTATATACCCAAAAAGCCATCACAGTCAGGATAATAGACATGTCCATTGCCTCCAAAGATGCCCTTGTGCCCCTTCAGAATCCTTCCTTTCCACTGCATCTCTCTCTTCCCACGCTGTTGCTGATAAGCCTTGAAATCATGTAGTGTTACTCTGCTTTGTTCTTTTTCAGGCTTCTCTATGTGTCTGCTTCACTTTTTGAATATCTGAAATATAATAAGTGTTTTCATGTCCTTGTTTACTAATTCTGACATTTATGTCAGTTCTGGATCAGTTTTGACTTGAATGACTTTTCTTCTCACATTGGTCCTATTTTCCTGCTGCTTTCAGGCATTGTGAGCTTTGTTCTGAGATGCACTTGTTGGGAAACAGTTTGTTCCTTTCAGGTCTTGCTTTTAAAATGTGTTAGGTAGGACCAGAATAGTTCTTGATCTATGGGCAGTTATTGTTCACCTGTGAGGCAAGACCATTTGAGGGCTCTTCCGAGTGGCTTGTGCATCGAGGTTTTCTGTGCTGCCTGATGAGAAGAGGTCCTGTTACTGGCTCAACTTGAGTACCTCTCATTTTTTCTGGTGGTTCTTTGGCGGCCTCAGGTAGGTTTACACTACCCTAATTGGTATATAGCTGAATGCTGGAAGGGGATGGGTCTTTGCAAGTCTCTGAAGTTCTCTCTCCATGCTGCTATTCTGTTCAGGTATTCTGTCCTGAGAACTTCTTGCCCCCTTGGTTTCCCTGGGCTCTCAGCTCTGTCCCAACTCAGAATGTTGGGTAGGCTCCTCCTGGGTTCTACCTTGTGTGCTGCAGCCTAGAAAGTCTTTCAAGACAGTAAGCTGGGGTGGTCATAGGGCTCACTTCATTTGTTTTCTGCTTCTCTGAAATATCAGTCTTTTGTTGCCTCATGCATGAGGTCTTAAAAACTGTTTTTCTGTACATTCTGTCTGTTTTCATTGTGAGACAAGAGGGTTAGTCAAATATCTGTTACTACATCTTAGCTGGCAGTAGACATCACTTTATTCCATTCTAATCTGTAAATTCTCACTGCTTCCCTCCCTCTCCTCTCTCGTAACCTTCTAATTTAGTTGTTCAAAAAATGAAGTCAGTTATTCTATAGAGTGCTCCAGAGTCTAGATTTTCACCAGTTCTGTCCCCATTGTGTCATTTCCCTCTATTCCTTGTATTTCCTGTGAACTGATGGATCAGATATAGGTTCACTTTTATTTCTCAAGAATAATTAATAAGTGATACTTCTTGTTTTGTTACATTATAAGGCATATTAAAGGTGCTCTTTTTGTGATAAGAATGCTCAGTGTGTTCAAATGTCCTTAGCCCAGTCTATGAAGTAGTAGCTTTTTACCTAATGATTTCAGCAAGTTTTATTCATCTTTGCCTGGATCACTTATTTCAGGGATTGTAAAATGGTAGTATTCAAAGTTTGTCATTCTTTATGAATTTATAAACTAGAGCTCTTCTAAGAAATAACCTTTCCTTATCAACTAGTTGATTACTCTGAAATAGAGTTCAAATAGGAAGGTCAGGGTATATGTTGATACTTTCCTTTTTATGGGTCACTTTTCAGAATAATGGATTTGTTCCTTAAGAGCCCCCAGAGGCAACAGGTGATCAAATAAGGGTTTTTTTTTTTTGTTTTTTTAGTTTGATTATGAGCACATGATATGAGTTTTTGATATGGTTACTCTATCACAGTTATTGTTCTTACTGATGCTCAAATTGCCCCATCTTTGACCAATAGGAGCTTATTCAAGTTGGCCCTTGAGACCTTATTTCATGAGCCCAATAGTCTCTGATAGCTTCCTTGCTATCTGGTATGACAGATATTCCAGGCTCCTCTTGTACATTTCCTTTTCTAGGCCAGGCATCAGCTGTTTCTTCAAGAAGCTCTGTTTCCTTTTAGGGTAAATGGTGTTTTAAGACAATAATACTAGGGGTGTACATTGTCACAAGATTGGTCATTGTTTCTAGCTATACTTTTCAGGTAGACAGAGGTAGGATATATGTTTTTCTGTTGTATGTCTGAAGCAAACTATGTCACGAATTCATACTGAAACTTCCCATTCAAATTCAGAATTACAAGGTTTTTATTTAACCTCTTTTATATGTATATCTCCATTCCCCTACCCTGAGTATCCCAGTTCTCAAAAACACTGGAAATGTTAGACCTAAAATAATCATATAATTGCTCATTTACTTAATCACACAGTACACACACAGCAGTGTGAGAATAAGTATACTGACACTATGGGGTATGATTACCATGAACTGTTTTTTTTTGTTTGTTTGTTTGTTTGTTTTTTTGTCCTTAGGGTTTATCCCCTGAATATATACAGTCAAATCACTGTGTTTAAAGTCCCTTGAAATACTTCCTCTCTGTGTACTTAGTTATTACTCTTTTTTTTAATGTTTATATATTTTGAGAGAGAGGGAAAAAGAGAATCATAAGGAGGCTCCATGCTTAACACAAGCCTGACACTAGGTTTGATCTCACAACTATAAGATCATGACCTGAGCTGAAATCTAGTCAGGCACTTAACTGACAGAGCCACCTAGGTGCCTCTACTTACCATTCGTTTTGATGTTTAAATTGGCCTATGTTTAGCTCATGGGAATATTCAGTTTGTCTTCTGAGTCTTTTTAACACAACCCCAATAATCTTTGACGACTCTTTTCTTTCTAGTACAACAAACTGTTCCAGGTTTCTTACACATTTATTGGCCCAGACCTGGAACCAGCCATCCAAAATCCCTGGTTCCTTTTAGTGGGAAATGGTATTTAGAGACGATATAGGTACTAAAGTTGTGCATTCAACTTAGTTACTCATTATTTCTAGGCCTTTTCGGTGGCCAGATATAGGAAATATATTTTCCTTTTTCAGAAAACACACATCATTAGTTCAATTTGATGGTTCCAATTTAAACTTTACATTATTTTACTTCTTTGACTCTGTATTTGTTATTTTTCTTATGCTGAAAATATTGGTTCCTGATAACATAATTTCTTACTTTACATATAAACTGAGAACCTACTATGTATATGATTTCTGAGTAACAGTATTAATGTCAATAGTATGATTATTGAAAACTTTTAAGTTTTGGGCTTTTAAAAAAGTTTTTCCTAAGATCTATTCCAGTGGGTATTATTTAATTTTAACGTTACTGAAATAATTCCTTTCTGTGTAGTTAAACCATCAACTTAAAACACTGGTTTATTTCATTTTGCTTTTTATTTTCAGGTATTGTTCTTTTTTTCATGTGAATTTAATTCTGTTGTATCATTCTATACATTTAATAGTTCTAAAGTAAATCTTAACAGAAAAATCTAGCTTTTCTCTGTCCTCTACACACCCACCTACAAAGGTAGCCATTTTCACTATTTGTTTTTAATATAAGCAAGTATGTATATGTGTGTATCCTTTCTCCCCTATTTCTTACATAAAAAGTCTCTTATTATATATGGTAGTCTGCCTGCATTTTCCACCTACCAATATAGTCTAGAGATCCATCTGTATGTTGTACTCTGCTATTGTTACGTGATTGTTATTGCCCAAAACAACCTTTTTTTTTTTTTTTAATGAACCAGATTGCTAGTGACTGTAATAGGTAAAAATTATTTTCAAGGTGAGTTGTGGCTGTACATCTATCGTAAAAGATATTTTAGTTGTTTCAAACTGATTTAGAGATGTCAGTGATGTTAACTAAAATATAAATAGTAGTGTCCCTAAGGCCTAGTTTGGAACCCATTTGTCTCTCTACACTTCCCTTTAGGTGTTTTTACCATTGGTAAAATGGTTTTATGTACCATTGTTACATTGATGATTCCTAGTTCATGTACAGGTAATCCAGGCCGCCGAGCTCTGACATGCATAACCTATCACTACTTAGCACTTAGATGTTACCCAAGACATCTTAAACTTAACATACACAAAGTAGAACATTTTCCCCCCAAAATTATGCTCTCCCTACTCCCACCCCCAACTTTGCATTTTCTACAATTACTTCTTCCACATCTTGATTCATTTTCCTCACTTTTCACATTCATAGCTAATATTGATGATTTTATCACCAAAATATATTTCTAGTCTGGTGTCATTTCCATCTCCTCTTTCTCCATCACAAGCCAGAGATGCCTTTCCATTGCATGTGGGTCCTCCAGGACCTAGCCTGTAGTCATCTCCATGTTACCCCCACCCTTAGTCCCTCTGTCCATCCTGACCTTTCAGTATCTTAAAACACATCAGGGTCATTTCCCTCCTGGGTTTTTCATTGGTGTTTCCTCTGCTTGGAATGCTCTTTCCCCCCACTATAGTTCTCAGGCTAAATGTCATTTACTCAGTGTCTTTGTAATCACTCTTTCTAAAGTAGAATTCTCAAAATTCTTTGTTCTTGGTTGGTTTCTTTTATAGTACTCATTACAACTTGGAATTTTTTGTGTTTATTTGCCCTTTATCTGTCTCCTCCACTGGAGGAGTAGACATAGGAGACACCTTAATAGGAACTCAATAAATATTTGAAGAACATATAGAAAAAATGTGAAATTTCATTTTTAAAGTTGCAATTTAATGAAAAGCTTCACTTGCTCATGCAGAACCCATTATTTATTTATTCTCCACATTATTCCAAAATATTTTACAAAATATAAACAATGCTAGCTACAGAAATAAATGTGTGTGTGAGTATATGTTGTTGGAGGTGGGAAACATGTGGTTAGTCTTCAAAATACATTTCTAAGATTCTCTTTCCTAGAATTAGGCAGCAGATTTGGCTTTGAGCTTAAAAGTCACTGCAAAATGGTTTCCATGATCCACAGAACCTGTAAGATAAAAATCTTTTGAACTCTTTCCACCATCTTTCTGTGCCGCCATATTGGTATACATGAATGTCCTGGCAGATGCTCTTAAGAGCATTAACAATGCTGAAAAGAGAGGCAAATGCCAGGTTCTTAGTAGGCCATGCTCCAAAGTCATTATCCAGTTTCTAAACTGTGATGATGAAACGTGGTTACATTGGCAAATTTGAAATCATTCATGATTACAGAGCTGGGAAAATTGTTACAAACCTCATAAGCAGGTTAAACAACTGTGGAGTTATCAGCCCCAGATTTTATGTACAACTCAAAGATCTAGAAAAATGGCAGAATAGGGGCGCCTGGGTGGCTCAGTCGGTTAAGCGTCCAACTTCAGCTCAGGTCACGATCTCACCGTCCATGAGTTCGAGCCCTGCATCGGGCTCTGGGCTGATGGCTCAGAGCCTGGAGTCTGTTTCCGGTTCTGTGTCCCCCTCTCTCTCTGCCCCTCCCCCGTTCATGCTCTGTCTCTCTCTGTCTCAGAAATAAATAAACGTAAAAAAAAAAAAAA